ACAAGTGAAGGTGGCTACTGAAAATTGAAACAGTTTAGCCAGTGCCGTGTAGCGGTGAATAAACGTGTTTTCTTTAGTCTGTCCGTGTTTTTTCATAGATTTTATTAGTTTGTGTGTTTTTGACTTTTGAATACTCAGTTTACTTGTTGATTTAATTGTTGTGTTGATTGTTCTTGTGTGTCCTAAATATGGCTCTTTGGAGACCTTGGGAAAATGCTCCAAGCCACGAGGAGATGTTTGATGAACCTGTGCAGGCAGAATTCTTTCATAAAGATTTAGAGGAACAGACCCAAAGAGTAATCCTAAATATGTATGATTGTCTGAAAAACGAAAATCCAGATTCCTCGCAAAATCAAATTTTAAACAGAATTTGTATCCTGACAAAAATCAGTCGGTCTACCATTTATCGGGTCATAAAAAGGGGAGATGTAGTCAACCATTCCTTCCACAGAAAGCGCATAGGGCAAAAATTAAAAAGAATAGACGTGGGTTTTCAGGAAGATATTCGTCGTATAATATACGGATTTTATAAAGAAAATTTGGTGCCCACGTTGGAAATGATACGGGATAAATTAAAAGATTATCCTGAAGATTTTTATAATTACAAATGCTTAGACTCACTGCACTGTATTGTAAAACTGTGTGGTTTTCAATACAAAAAATTAGATAAAAGTATGGTGATTATGGAGTCGTCTCGAATCGTTGAATTGAGCCAAGAATGTTGGCACAAAGTTAAAATCTATAGAGAGCAGAAAAGAAATCTGATTTACCTGGATGAAACGTGGTATGATACCCATGATGTTGTGCAGTACGGCTGGGTTGACGACAGCAACAAGTGCATTTTAAATGCACCATGCAACCGTGGAAAACGAATCATTATTCTCCATGCTGGCAGTGAAAATGGATTTATACCTAATGCCTTGCCGTTATCTGCCAAAAATATCAAAGAATCATGTGCCGACTATCATGAGGACATGACCTCCGACTTATTTGAAAAGTGGATAGAGCAGCAGTTAATACCAAACATTTCCCCAAATTCAGTGATTATTATGGACAATGCGCCATACCATTCCCGACAGAAAAACAAAATTCCGAATACAGGCACAAAAAAACAAGACATTATTGATTTTATGAAGGATAAGGGAATGGAAATACCACAAAAATCAACCAAAGCCATATTATTGGATCTTATTAAAAGACAAAAATTTGAAAAAGAGTATGTTGTTGACAATCTGCTTCAGCAAAATGGCCATGAAGTATTACGTCTACCTCCCTATTACTGCATTTTTAACCCGATTGAGTTGGTCTGGGCTGCTTTAAAAAAAAGTAAGAAAACATAATCAGACCCCTCAATTAAGTGAATCGCTATTGGCCACAATAAGAGATGCAGTATCTCATATTGCTGCCACAGACCTATGGAAGCAGTGTGCTAGGCATATTATTGAAAAAGAAAATGAATATTGTGTTTTGCCTCCTGTAAATCCCGTTGTAATTCCTCTACAAGATGACTCTAGCGACAGCTCCGAAGGCGAGGATGATATATACCTAAATACCTATAATGTAAGTCTTTATATACCTTTTTATATACCTACCTGCTATGTAAATATTTGCCTATGTCAAACGTTGGAATTCTGTAATTTTTCCATTTCTTAACTTTCAGTCAACATAAATTAAACTCCCAATATAAGTATTTTTTATCCCAAATCAAAAAAATAAGAAGATAGTAAAATCCATTTATTGTGATATAAAAACATTATTATTATCGTTCTAAATAAATGACCGCACGCCTATGATACGTCATGAAATTACAAAGGACGCGCCGACCAAAGGTTTTTATGTTATTTCAAGTGACTTCAGATAAAGTATACACTCGGGTGTCCCAAAAATATTAAAGTACAATAAATCCCTTGGCGACCATCTAATATTTTTAAAATTGATATATCGAAGGGCAAGGTTGGCGACCATGCTTCTTCAGACAGAAAACGTACAAATGCAGAAACCATTAATGAATATTTACGTACGTTTGTAGATGGAATCGAGAATATTCCATTTTAAGTAGGATATTATATCACTAAGGATGATGACATCAACATTCACCTACATTGCTCACGAGAAATGGCTGTGCGAACGTCCATTTGAACGTTTGTAAACATTTACTTAGATCGCGAAATACTGTCTTGTCCATAAACGACTATCTTATTTACCGCTGTTTTAAACGAAGCTGCAAAGTTTCAGTACAGTTCAATGTTTATACTGAATCTAATATACTCCATTTTGAAAATATTGTTGAGGGTATTTCGAGACTTCGATCTATACCAGGTGTTATATATATATACCAGGTATTATATATATATATATATATATATATATATATATAGGTGAAAAATTAAAGCTTCCGCCTTTTGTTGGGTACTTCGACAAAATTTAAGCAAAGAGGACTCTTTATACTTTTTTTAATTCTCTCTAGCTTTCAATGGACTTTGCCATCATCATCAGGAGCTGCAATTACAAAGATAACAGTAGCAACAAAAGTGTAAAATGAATTTAAATTGAATCAACTTACAGTAGTATGTGAGGATGTTGCTAATTGTTGTTTTCGTATAGGATGAGGGAAACGTCCAGTAACATGGTGAGAGCTGGATACATGGTACAATGGTTAAAATTATATAAAATATGACAAGACAAGTTAAAGACAGATTAAAAATTATTTAGAAAACATTAGAGCATTACGTCGTGAAGCCACTTGATGATTGCACAAAATGGTGGTCATGGAATAATGAGTGAGATGAACCTTTGACAGAAGGCCGAAGGTTGTCAATGTCTGTGTTGAAAGATGGAACGAATTGTGGGCGTGTGCCAAAACGTTGCCAAATCACTTCAGATGATGTGATTTTCAGAATGTTATGTAAGAAATTGTTAAACTGACCAGAGGCAGTTGAATAAAATATATTTTAATTAATGGGAATTTTAAATTAATAATTATTAATAAATCGTGAGACGAGAATTATTAGATTTTGAGTGGAATGAAATTTGTTGGTGGAATCGGCCAAAACACAGATTATATTTATGGTTGTGAAAAGTCGAAATTTGGGGAGATATGTAAGTTCTCCAATTTTTCGCAGTTTAGCAAATATGAGTAAATGACACTCAGTTGTTTAATATCTGTCTTTTTGTTGATACAGTTGTTATTCATGAAAATGTGGGACATTTCCAGGAATAAACGTTTGGAAAGGTGTTTTTCTTCATCAAGGACTTTGATACTTGTGTAATTCATAGAATGCCCTGTTGTGTTAACATGAGATGCTAGAGCGCATCTTTCAGGATGAAGCCTAGCATCACTTTTGTGTGATGTAATCCTTCCTTTAAGAGATCTGGAGGTCTGACCTATGTATATTTGGTTTTTTTTTCCACTCAAAATCTAATAATTCTTTTCTCACGATTTATTAATAATTATTAATTTAAAATTCCCATTAATTAAAATATAGTTTATTCAACTGCCTCTGGTCGGTTTAACAATTTCTTACATAACATTCTGAAAATCACATCATCTGAAGTGATTTGGCAACGTTTTGGCACACGCCCACAATTCGTTCCATCTTTCAACACAGACATTGACAACCTTCGGCCTTCTGTCAAAGGTTCATCTCACTCATTATTCCATGACCACCATTTTGTGCAATCATCAAGTGGCTTCGCGACGTAATGCTCTAATGTTTTCTAAATAATTTTTAATCTGTCTTTAACTTGTCTTGTCATATTTTATATAATTTTAACCATTGTACCATGTATCCAGCTCTCACCATGTTACTGGACGTTTCCCTCATCCTATACGAAAACAACAATTAGCGACATCCTCACATACTACTGTAAGTTGATTCAATTTAAATTCATTTTACACTTTTGTTGCTACTGTTATCATTGTAATTGCAGCTCCTGATGATGATGGCAAAGTCCATTGAAAGCTAGAGAGAATTAAAAAAAGTATAAAGAGTCCTCTTTGCTTAAATTTTGTCGAAGTACCCAACAAAAGGCGGAAGCTTTAATTTTTCACCTAACTGGTCTAGACGACAATGACCACGTCTCAAGTTATATATATTATATATATACAGTAATGGACAAAAGTATATGACAAATATGAATATTTACCTAAATACCTCTAGAAAACGAATTCATACTTCATTTCTCCATAAACAAATGCATCATTAGTAGAAAAACTAAATTCCTTGTATTTACATTATCTGCAATGAACACACTACAAGTCTATAAGCACCCAAGTACACTTTGCCCACTGTCAAACATGGAGGCAGGTCTGTTATGGTTTGGGGATGCTTTTCGGGGTTTAGGATGGGACCTTTACAGATGGCATTATGGATAAGTTTGTATACACAGACATACTAAAGCATGCCATGTTATCCTATAAGGAATGCAATATGCCCTTAAGATCAATCTTCCAGCAAGATAATGACCCGAAGCACACTGCAAAGAAAAATATTCAGTAATACAGTTGTAAGGTTTGAAGAGATTCATCTTCGGTGACCTTGAACGTGACCTTGACCATGACCTTGGGAAACATCTATTTTTAATTATTGAAATGCGGAAAATTTTGAGTTTCTTGTCGGACCTGCCGTCACTATGCTATCAAAACTTAGTTGAATTATTCAAATTGAGGAGTTATTTAAGAAAAACCGATTTTCACCAACGTCCTTGAGGATTTGACTACGCAGGCTGGGAAACCTTGCGTGCATCAACGAGTAGGTGTTGAATAAAAGATACGAAAATCGATGTTAACAAATTGATGATAATCTAACATAGATCGTTGCGATATTCATCCATATTTACCATTTTCCACGGCAATAAAAAATGATGCACCTGTTCCTTGATTGCATTGACCATAAAAACTGCAATTTTCTAACGATTAAAAATCCTGTTTCGATACGCGTTTTTATCCATATTTGCGGTAACGCGGTCACGTAATCTTCACAGGAATTCTGCAAACAATGCTATCGATTATTTATTCTCATTTGTTGTCTGAAGTCTTTTTGCTTTATTTGATCTGATCTTTCTGCGTTTGAACTAAGACTCTTCAGATGAATGACCGATTGGAAAAGATTCAATATATCTATATAAAAAATTCTATAAAAAAATATCTTCTGCCAAAGAAATCCAAATATGATAAATGTTTTTCCTTATAGAGAATGTTCAATGTCAGTATAACAAACGAAATATGATTTTCTTAAATTGGAAATCGATTCAAATTCTGCGTATCTTCAAATTCTGGTGCTTTAAAGTTATTATTTGATCTAAACGTTTTAAACATTTGCGAGACCTAGTCATTTAAGTTTTGTGAAAAATAGTGAATTTGATAGTTGATTCATGTTTATTTAAACATCATAACAGAATCACTCGCTTATCTAATCAACAAATGTTTTGAATCCCTCAATTTTAAACAAAGGTAAAATAAATACATAAATCAGAAAAAACATGAATTCTCCATACCAACGGGAAATTGTCGACTGATGTGGCGATAATTGTCTCTGAAAGTTGTAATAAATTATGGCGCGAAAATGTTCTCATAACATTGAATTTAAGTTTACTAAAGAGTGAGGTTAAGATTCAGTACTGACGTTCGATCCGCGCGGCCTACTATGTTTCTATATGCAAAACTTGAAAGACATCCCTCGTATTGTAGAGTTACTCTCTGTGTCCACCACAGAACGACAGAGGTTACTGAGAGTACGTATTCCTTGTTTGTGTTAAATTAAATGAAAAAAAGATATTTCTCCACTTCCCAATTAATGTTTATGTGTACAAATTTTCCATAAAATATTTGAAACTTTTTTATTTATTCCTGCAAATCTCTCGATATCGAGTTAACAATTTTCAAAAATATTGCGGAGTCACCTTCAATGACCACAGTACGCCATTTCAGAGAGAGATTATGTATTTCCTGTTTGTGTTGAATTAAGTGAAAAAAAAGATTGACATCCCTCAAATTCTCAATATTCTCTGCCCTGTTTCGTGTTCACATCGTACATATACTAAGTGACATATAAATCCGAACACCCAGTTTAAATGGTTTTATTTTAATAAAATTTTGTATAAGTACTTAATGAAGCATAATAAGTAAATGATAAAAATTTCAAAATGATTGCAGTGCTTTAAAGCCCTTTGACCTTTAATAATGTGTGGATGCACCGTGATGTGCTACTCATTCTCCAACGCGCCTAGGCATGCTTCTGATCAGGTGGTCAATGTCCTCCTGTGGTATCTTATTCCAGGCAACCACCAACTCCTCTCGAAGTGCTTCTAGAGTCTAAGGAGGACGTTGCAAATTGAGCAATCTCCTACCCATCATATCCCACACGTGCTCAATTGGGGATAAGTCGGGAGATCTTGGTGGCCATGGTAACAATGTGACATCATTATGTTGAAAGAAGTCTATTGTGACTCTTGCAACATGTGTTCGGGCATTATCTTGTTGGAAATTTGGATCTGCCAGGGTGTCAAGATAGGGTAAAAGATGGGGTTCTAGAACTTCGTGGATATAACGCTGCGCGTTCATGTTACCTCTGATGAAGATTAAAGGTGACCTGGAACCATAAGCTATAGCACCCCAAACCATAACTCCAACAGTGTGATGAACATGTCTTTCAACAAAAAACTGTGGATTCCTCCTTTCACCACGTCGCCTTCTAACCCTGGCACGACCATCGTGCATGCCTAAACAAAATCGAGACTCGTCACTAAAGACAATACTGTTCCATTCCTGATCCCAGAGTGACCGTTGTCTGCACCACTCAAGGCGATTACGTCGGTGTTCTCGAGTTAAAGGGAGGACCCAGTGTGGCCGGTTTGAAAACAAGCCAAAACTTCTCATTCGTCGGTAAACACTTCGCATGCCAATAGGTCTTCCGTGTTCTGCAAACCATTCATTTGCAATGGACCTGGTAGTGGAGAAACGGTCCCTTAAGGCCAATAATCTTAGGCGGCGATCTTCACGGTCTGTTGTTCTACGGCGACGTCCAGTGCCCCTTGTTCTTTGCGTACGGCCTTCTCGAAGCCATACCTGACAACACCTAACCACAGTGTCTACACTTCTTTGCACTCTAACTTCAATTGCCCGAAAAGAAAGTCCAGCTTCCCGAAGCCCCACTATACGGCCCCTATCAAACTCACTAAGTTGACGAAATCGTACAGGTCTCCGTACTCTAGGCATCGTAACCGATCGTAAAGGATTTCAATAACCAAAATCCGCCAACGTTGATTCTTTACTGCGGCTGAAATATTCATTTTTAGAGCATTAGTGAATTAAAGAAAAGCAGTATAAAAACCGGAATGTCCAACTGATAAGGCTGAAAATTTTTTCACTTGTTATTTACAGTAAGATAAATACATTCACCAACTTTTATTAAAATAAAACCATTTAAACTGGGTGTTCGGATTTATATGTCACTTAGTATATATAAATTTATGTTAAACCTTGATCTACAAGACCTGGGAAAGTATTTTGAGATTAGTTTATTTTGAAGTGGTTTCAACGCTGCTTTTCAGGCGAATTGGCGAACTTTTGTTGTTGACTGTACAAACAGCGCGTTTTCTCAGTAACCGCAGTACAGATTTTGTTGAAATTTTATGATTAATATTCTGCGAGTTCATACAGAGTGACACCACAATGTTTTTGAATATCGTGGATACTGAGAAATTTGTAAAAATAAAACAAAAAGCGTCTCCCAATATTTTATGAACAAAACAGGGAAGATTGTATGTAGAGAATTTGAGGAATGTCAGTCTTTTTTTGCATTTAGTTTAACACAAACAAAAAATACATATTCTCAGTAATCGCCGCATCTTTTTTTTAATCTTTCTAATGACGTTCTGTGAGGTCATAGAAGGTGACAGATACCTAAAGGATGTCAAGAACCAAAATCCGCCAACGTTGATTCTTTACTGCGGCTGAAATATTCGTTTTTAGAGCGTTAGTGAATTAAAAAAAAGCAGTATAAAAACCGGAATGTCCAACTGATAAGGCTGAAAATGTTTTCACTTGTTATTTACAGTAAGATAGATACATTCACCAACTTTTATTAAAATAAAACCATTCAAACTGGGTGTTCGGATTTATATGTCACTTAGTATAAAACATTGGGATACGTTTCTTGCTTTATTTTTGCAAATTCCGTCGTATCCAGTCACGAATTTTCAAAAACATGGTGAAGTCACTCTTTAAGACCTCGCAGAATGTCAATAATCAAATTTCAACAAAATCGGTGCTACGGTTACTGAGATAACATTCAGCTTATACTTGTTGAGTTAGATGAATCACCATCTTTACCTTACTTCCATGGGTTCAAAGCTTCGTGTACACATTTTCTAATGTATACTGGGGGACTTTTTTATCTATTTTTGCAAATTTCTTTGTATGGAGTTTACAATTTAAAAAAATATTGTGGTGCCTGTCACTTTTTTAACATCACAACAAAAAAATGATGCAGCGGTTATTGAGATTACGTATTTTTTGTTTATGTTAAATTAAATGAAAAAAACTGACATTCCTCAAATTCTCTGTTACGTGTACATATTATCTATAAAATATTGGGAGACACTCCTTGCTTTATTTTTGCAAATTTCTCAGTTTCCAGTTCACGATTTTCAAAAACATTATGGTGTCACGCTTTATGACGTCGCAGAATATTATCATTAAATATCAACAAAATCGATGCTGCGGTTACTGAGATAACATGCTGCTTATACTTCTTGAGTTAGATGAACAAATGTTTTGAGCTTACTTTCATACAAGCAGAGATATTCCTCAGTTTCTTACTAAAAACTATACCATGCTTCGTATACACATTTTCAATATTTTTTTATTTTTAATTTTTTTCATTTGGAGTTCATAATTTAAAAAAAAATAATGAGGTATCTGTCACCTTCTATGACCTCACAGAACGCGATTAGGAAAATAAAAACAAAAAGATGCTGCGATTACTGTGAATACGTATTTGTTGTTTGTGTTAAACTAAATGCAAAAAAGACTGACATTCCTCAAATTGTCTATATACAATCTTCCCTGTTTTGTTCATAAAATATTGGGAGACGCTTTTTGTTTTATTTTTGCAAATTTCTCAGTATCCACGATAGTCAAAAACATGGTGGTGTCACTCTGTATGACCTTGCAGAATATTAATCATAAAATTTCAACAAAATCTGTACTGCGGTTACTGAGAAAACGCGCTGTTTGTACAGTCTGCGAAAACCAAAAGTTCGCCAATTCTGGCCTGAAAAACAACGTTGAAACCGCTTCAAAATAAACTAATCTCAAAGTACTCTTCCAGATCTTGTAGATCAAGGTTTAACATAAATTTATATATACTAAGTGACATATAAAACCGAACACCCAGTTTAAATGGTTTTATTTTAATAAAAGTTGGTGAATGTATTTATCTTACTGTAAATAACAAGTGAAAAAATTTTCAGCCTTATCAGTTGGACATTCCGGTTTTTATACCGCTTTTTTTTAATTCACTAACGCTCTAAAAATGAATATTTCAGCCGCAGTAAAGAATCAACGTTGATGGATTTTGGTTCTTGACATCCTTTACGATCGGTTACGATGCCTAGAGTACGGAGACCTGTACGATTTCGTCAACTTAGTGAGTTTGATAGGGGCCGTATAGTGGGGCTTCGGGAAGCTGGACTTTCTTTTCGGGCAATTGCAGTTAGAGTGCAAAGAAGTGTAGACACTGTGGTTAGGTGTTGTCAGGCATGGCTTCGAGAACGCCGTACGCAAAGGGCAAGGGGCACTGGACGCCGCCGTAGAACAACCGACCGTGAAGATCGCCGCCTAAGATTATTGGCCTTAAGGGACCGTTTCTCCACTACCAGGTCCATTGCAAATGAATGGTTTGCAGAACACGGAAGACCTATTGGCATGCGAAGTGTTTACCGACGAATGAGAAGTTTTGGCTTGTTTTCATACCGGCCACACTGGGTCCTCCCTTTAACTCGAGAACACCGACGTAATCGCTTTGAGTGGTGCAGACAACGGTCACTCTGGGATCAGGAATGGAACAGTATTGTCTTCAGTGACGAGTCTCGATTATGTTTAGGCATGCACGATGGTTGTGCCAGGGTTAGAAGGCGACGTGGTGAAAGGAGGAAGCCACAGTTTTTTGTTGAAAGACATGTTCATCACACTGTTGGAGTTATGGTTTGGGGTGTTATAGCTTATGGTTCCAGGTCACCTTTAATATTCATCAGAGGTAACATGAACGCGCAGCGTTATATCCACGAAGTTCTAGAACCCCATCTTTTACCCTATCTTGACACCCTGGCAGATCCAACTTTCCAACAAGATAATGCCCGACCACATGTTGCAAGAGTCACAATAGACTTCTTTCAACATAATGATGTCACATTGTTACCATGGCCACCAAGATCTCCCGACTTATCCCCAATTGAGCACGTGTGGGATATGATGGGTAGGAGATTGCTCAATTTGCAACGTCCTCCTCAGACTCTAGAAGCACTTCGAGAGGAGTTGGTGGTTGCCTGGAATGAGATACCACAGGAAGACATTGACCACCTGATCAGAAGCATGCCTAGGTGCGTTGGAGAATGCGTAGCACATCAGGGTGCATCCACACGTTATTAAAAGTCAAAGGACTTTAAAGCAGTGCAATCATTTTGAGATTTTTATCATTTACTTGTTACGCTTCATTAAGTACTTATACAAAATTTTATTAAAATAAAACCATTTAAACTGGGTGTTCGGATTTATATGTCACTTAATATACTTGGCGATCCCAACAATCATACCTTTTACATTATATTTTCTCTAAAGCTGTAAGCGCCTTACTGTTGAAAAGCCCTAAACACGGGTATATTGAAAACCCTGTTAAAAATTATAATTTTCGAGGTCGACAAGTATCTAAATTAAAAACAAAACCTTGCTCGACAAGACCCCGAAGAGTATTTCGAGATTACTTTATTTTAAAGCGATTAACCTGATTACGAAATTTCATAAATCAAAATAGGATATTAAGAATTTTGACCGCGTTGCCAACACGGATAATATAAACCCAGAATTGAATGTTAGTTAACCAGATAAGCTGTTGAAATTAGATCAGGTAAACTTATTTTCAAAATTTTAAATAACCGACAAAAGTGTAATACAAAAATTCTTATCACACAATGATTAATATAATATAATAACCCTGTCACTGATGCAATAAAAACATATTATAGTGTAAAGAATGTACATTCATTCAAAAATTATGTAAAAACACTTAAAAGTCACTTGAATTGTTGTTAAAATTCGCACTATAAATATTGCTGTTCTCGAGGCCAGTTGTCTGAACACAGATTAGATAACCTTTCTTACAATAAAATTTGTAAAAATAGACTGTTGAATAAATATTTGTTTTCAAAAAAAAAATCTTACTTTCATGGGCCCATAGAGAGAGATTCCTGAGATTCTCGATATACACCCTGCTCTGTTTCTTGCACACAACGTTGTCCGTGTCGATGACACCAAGGGGCAACCTAGGGAACAGATCAAATTCTTCATCTCGAATTTCCGCCGTTGCACAACATATCAAAAAGAAGAGAACTATCAGTCGCGAAGACATGCTGTCGCGCCTCGGGTCCTTTCAGGCGGCGGTTACGAAATTTCTGCAGCGACAACGAGCGCAAGAAGTACGAGAGAACCGGCGGTGTCGTTTGTAAACGCGGTTATGGCCACTGATCGAAACGCGGTGAGCTTTTGCGGTTACCGCATATCCACATGTGGATAGGTGCGTGACAGGTAGGGAGATAACGGATTTTTTTAGGTAGGGGATAAATCACGCAGCGACAAGCTTGATGAAGAATCTTCTAACAGTTCCTCGTTTCAACTCTTCGTGATTTTTAAACTGAAATGTGACGCACAAAATTAGTAACCAGAAGGTTCTTGGGTTATTGTTCTGGCCTCCTCTTCTTGTTATTTCTATTCTTACGTACGTAGCTTCTTCTTTCATTCTTCAAAAGCTTTATGGTTGCTGGTGGGACTGAGGATGCCATGTCTGAACAATGCAGGTTCTTGAGTTATTGTTCTGGCCTCTTCTTCTTGTTATTTCTCTTCTTACACACGTAACTTCTTCCTTCCTTCTTCAAAAGCTTTATGGCTGCTGATGGGCCTGAGGATGCAATGTATGAACAATGCAGGTTCTTGAGTTATTGTTTTGACCTCTTCTTCTTTTTATTTCTCTTCTTACATACGTAGCTTCTTCCTTCATTCTTCAAAAGCTTTATGGTTGCTGGTGGGACTGAGGATACCATGGGTGAACAATGCAGGTTCTTGAGTTATTGTTCTGGCTTCAGCTTCTTGTTATTTCTCTTCTTACACACGTAGCTTCTTCCTTCCTTCTTCTAAAGCTTTATGGTTGCTGGTGGGACTGAGGATGCCATGTGTGAACAATACAGGTTCTTGAGTTATTGTTATGCCTTCTTCTTCTTGTTATTTCTCTTCTTACACACGTAGCTTCTTCCTTCCTTCTTCAACAGCTTTATGGTTGCTGGTGGGACTGAGGATGCTATGTGTGAACAATGCAGGTTCTTGAGTTATTGATATGCCTTCTTCTTCTTGTTATTTCTCTTCTTACACACGTAGCTTCTTCCTTCCTTCTTCAAAAGCTTTATGGTTGCTGGTGGGACTGAAGATGCCATGTGAGAACAATGCAGGTTCTTGAGTTATTGTTCTGGCCTCTTCTTCTTGTTATTTCTCTTCTTACATACGTAGCTTCTTCCTTCCTTCTTCAACAGCTTTATGGTTGCTGGTGGAACTGAGGATGCCAGGTGTGAACAATGCAGGTTCTTGAGTTATTGTTCTGGCTTTTTCTTCTTGTTATTTCTCTTCTTATACACGTAGCTTCTTCCTTCCTTCTTCAACAGCTTTATGGTTGCTGGTGGGACTGAGGATGCCATGTGTGAACAATGCAGATTCTTGAGTTATTGTTCTGGCTTCTTCTTCTTGTTATTTCTCTTCTTACACACGTAGCTTCTTCCTTCCTTCTTCAACAGCTTTATGGTTGCTGGTGGGACTGAGGATGCCATGTGTGAACAATGCAGGTTCTTGAGTTATTGTTATGGCTTCTTCTTCTTGTTATTTCTCTTCTTACACACGTAGCTTCTTCCTTCCTTCTTCAAAAGCTTTATGGTTGTTGGTGTGACTGAGGATGCCATGTCTGAACAATGCAGGTTCTTGAGTTATTGTTCTGGCCTCTTCTTCTTGTTATTTCTCTTCTTACATACGTAGCTTCTTCTTTCCTCCTTCAACAGCTTTATGGTTGCTGGTGGGACTGAGGATGCCATGTGTGAACAATGCAGGTTCTTGCGTTATTGTTCTGGCTTCTTCTTCTTGTTATTTCTCTTCTTACACACGTAGCTTCTTCCTTCCTTCTTCAAAAGCTTTATGGTTGCTGGTGGGACTGAGAATACCATGTGTGAACAATGCAGGTTCTTGAGTTATTGTTCTGGCCTCTTCTTCTTGTTATTTCTCTTCTTACATACGTAGCTTCTTCCTTCCTTCTTCAAAAGCTTTATGGTTGCTGGTGGGACTGAGAATACCATGTGTGAACAATGCAGGTTCTTGAGTTATTGTTCTGGCCTCTTCTTCTTGTTATTTCTCTTCTTACATGCGTAGCTTCTTCCTTCCTTCTTCAAAAGCTTTATGGTTGCTGGTGGGACTATGTGAACAATGCAGGTTCTTGAGTTATGGTTCTGACTTCTTCTTCTTGTTATTTCTCTTCTTACATACGTAGCTTCTTCCTTCCTTCTTCAAAAGCTTTATTGTTGCTGATAGGACTGAGGATGCCATATATGAACAATGCAGGTTCTTGAGTTATTATTCTGGCTTCTTCTTCTTGTGATCTCTTTTCTTACACACGAAGCTTCTTCCTTCCTTCTTCAAAAGCTTTATGGTTGCTGGTGGGACTGAAGATGCCATGTGTGAACAATGTAGGTTCTTGAGTTATTGTTCTGGCTTCTTCTTCTTGTTATTTCTCTTCTTACACACGTAGCTTCTTCCTTCCTTCTTCAAAAGCTTTATGGTTGCTGGTGGGACTGAAGATGCCATGTGTGAACAATGTAGGTTCTTGAGTTATTGTTCTGGCCTCTTCTTCTTGTTATTTCTCTTCTTACATACGTAGCTTCTTCCTTCCTTCTTCAAAAGCTTTATTGTTGCTGATAGGACTGAGGATGCCATGTCTGAACAATACAGGTTTTTGAGTTATTGTTCTGGCCTCTTCTTCTTGTTATTTCTCTTCTTACACACGTAGCTTCTTCCTTCCTTCTTCAAAAGCTTTATGGTTGCTGGTGGGACTGAAGATGCCATGTGTGAACAATGCAGGTTCTTGAGTTATTGTTCTGGCCTCTTCTTCTTGTTATTTCTCTTCTTATACACGTAGCTTCTTCCTTCCTTCTTCAACAGCTTTATGGTTGCTGGTGGGACTGAGGATGCCATGTGTGATCAATGCAGGTTCTTGAGTTATTGTTCTGGCTTCTTCTTCTTGTTATTTCTCTTCTTGCACACGTAGCTTCTTCCTTCCTTCTTCAAAAGCTTTATGGTTGCCGGTGGGACTGAGGATGCCATGTGTGAACAATGCAGGTTCTTGAGTTATTGTTCTGGCTTCTTATTCTTGTTATTTCTCTTCTTACACACGTAGCTTCTTCCTTCCTTCTTCAAAAGCTTTATGGTTGCCGGTGGGACTGAGGATGCCATGTGTGAACAATGTAGGTTCTTGAGTTATTGTTCTGGCTTCTTCTTGTTATTTTTCTTCTTACACACGTAGCTTCTTCCTTCCTTCTTCAAAAGCTTTATGGTTGCTGGTGGGAGTGACGATGCCCTGTGTGAACAATGCAGGTTCTTGAGTTATTGTTCTGGCTTCTTCTTCTTGTTATTTCTCTTCTTACACACGTAGCTGCTTCCTTCCTTCTTCAACAGCTTTATGGTTGCTCGTGGGACTGAGGTTGCCTTGTGTGAACAATGGAGGTCCTTGAGCTATTGTTTTGACTTCTTCTTCTTGTTATTTCTCTTCTTACATACGTAGCTTCTTCCTTCCTTCTTCAAAAGCTTTATGGTTGCTGGTGGGACTGAGAATACCATGTGTGAACAATGCAGGTTCTTGAGTTATTGTTCTGGCCTCTTCTTCTTGTTATTTCTCTTCTTACATGCGTAGCTTCTTCCTTCCTTCTTCAAAAGCTTTATGGTTGCTGGTGGGACTATGTGAACAATGCAGGTTCTTGAGTTATGGTTCTGACTTCTTCTTTTTGTTATTTCTCTTCTTACATACGTAGCTTCTTCCTTTCTTCTTCAAAAGCTTTATTGTTGCTGATAGGACTGAGGATGCCATATATGAACAATGCAGGTTCTTGAGTTATTATTCTGGCTTCTTCTTCTTGTGATCTCTTTTCTTACACACGAAGCTTCTTCCTTCCTTCTTCAAAAGCTTTATGGTTGCTGGTGGGACTATGTGAACAATGCAGGTTCTTGAGTTATGGTTCTGACTTCTTCTTCTTGTTATTTCTCTTCTTACATACGTAGCTTCTTCCTTCCTTCTTCAAAAGCTTTATTGTTGCTGATAGGACTGAGGATGCCATATATGAACAATGCAGGTTCTTGAGTTATTATTCTGGCTTCTTCTTCTTGTGATCTCTTTTCTTACACACGAAGCTTCTTCCTTCCTTCTTCAAAAGCTTTATGGTTGCTGGTGGGACTATGTGAACAATGCAGGTTCTTGAGTTATGGTTCTGACTTCTTCTTCTTGTTATTTCTCTTCTTACATACGTAGCTTCTTCCTTCCTTCTTCAAAAGCTTTATTGTTGCTGATAGGACTGAGGATGCCATATATGAACAATGCAGGTTCTTGAGTTATTATTCTGGCTTCTTCTTCTTGTGATCTCTTTTCTTACACACGAAGCTTCTTCCTTCCTTCTTCAAAAGCTTTATGGTTGCTGGTGGGACTGAGGATGCCATGTCTGAACAATACAGGTTTTTGAGTTATTGTTCTGGCCTCTTCTTCTTGTTATTTCTCTTCTTACACACGTAGCTTCTTCCTTCCTTCTTCAAAAGCTTTATGGTTGCTGGTGGGACTGAAGATGCCATGTGTGAACAATGCAGGTTCTTGAGTTATTGTTCTGGCTTCTTCTTCTTGTTATTTCTCTTCTTACACACGTAGCTTCTTCCTTCCTTCTTCAACAGCTTTATGGTTGCTCGTGGGACTGAGGTTGCCTTGTGTGAACAATGGAGGTCCTTGAGCTATTGTTTTGACTTCTTCTTCTTGTTATTTCTCTTCTTACATACGTAGCTTCTTCCTTCCTTCTTCAAAAGCTTTATGGTTGCTGGTGGGACTATGTGAACAATGCAGGTTCTTGAGTTATGGTTCTGACTTCTTCTTCTTGTTACTTCTCTTCTTACATACGTAGCTTCTTCCTTCCTTCTTCAAAAGCTTTATTGTTGCTGATAGGACTGAGGATGCCATATATGAACAATGCAGGTTCTTGAGTTATTATTCTGACTTCTTCTTGTGATCTCTTTTCTTACACACGAAGCTTCTTCCTTCCTTCTTTAAAAGCTTTATGGTTGCTGGTGGGACTGAGGATGCCATGTCTGAACAATACAGGTTTTTGAGTTATTGTTCTGGCCTCTTCTTCTTGTTATTTCTCTTCTTACACACGTAGCTTCTTCCTTCCTTCTTCAAAAGCTTTATGGTTGCTGGTGGGACTGAAGATGC